CTGCATCTGCCGTTGCTGCTGCTGCACCTGCTTCATGGAGGAACAGAGGATTTAGTCTCCATGGTTGTCAGTCCAAAACTTTCAACCTTGCTCTTGTCAAAACACATGCATGCAAGTAGTTCTGTCAGACTCACTGAGATTACTCATGTGCATAAAAGCAGTCACGTGCAGAAACCCTGGCAGGATCAGTTTCTTATTAAGAACTAAATCCTTCAGAAGAATAACAAACAAACAAAGCATTGATGGATACTTGGCAATGGTAGAGTTTGTCTGATGCAACACTGCCATCTAGAGGCTGGAACTCAATTTGAAATACCTTTCAGATGTACAGAGATTGGATATAAAAAGTGAAAGAGAAAATAGTTTAAATAGGAATATTTGCCACAAAACAATTGTACACTGAAACAAAGTGTTTAAAATTTAAATTTAGAAATAATTAAACAAGTAAGAGGCAAGATAAAAGCTAGGAGCATTGCAAGCATCTAAAAATGTACTAACAATGTTTTAAGCAGAGGGGTTAAAATGTCTAGGGGAAAATGTCTTTCACAAAATTTCACACTGAAAACACCATGGTGTAAGCACCAAGCACCTCTCTCTGGAGAAGTCGTTTCACAAGTAGGCCACCACTACAGGAAAGGCTCTCACCTTAGTAGCTTTCTGCCTCACCTCATTCAGCAGCGGTACCCAGGGAAGAGCCTCTGAGTACGATCTTAGGGTTTGAGCTGGTATATACAGGAAGAGATGAGGCAACCATTAGGTAACCTGGCCCTGAGCAATGTAGGGCTTTGTAGGTTAATAACAGAATTTTGCATTGGGTACAGAAATGGCATGGCAGCCTATGCAGATTATGAAACATTAGCATAATATAATCATATTGATCAGTCCCCTTTAACAATCTTGCTTCCCTAATATAGACCACTTGAAGTTCCTGTACCATTTTCAAAGGCAGACCCACAAATAACACACTGCAGTAATGCAAATGAGAGGTTACCAGAGCATAGGTAACTGTAGGTTGGATATCTCTGTCTAGATTGGATTGTAGTTAGGATGTTCCATGCCTTTTAAAATTAAAAATGGAATAGTATACATTAGAAGTGCTTAAAATAAATAAGTATAATACTAACAGCTTTGATAGTGTTATGGGAAGTAAACTTTGGTGTCCATAATGAGAGATGGCACATAGCTAGATTGACATGTTATGGAAGGGCATGGGAAGGGAGAATTCAAGCAGCCATTCAAATGTATCTTTTGGGATGATCTGTTGAATTATTTTTTTACAGGAACTGTGAACAGAAGTGTTTACAAAAAGATGTACTTGGTCAGTCATCAAATTCATGAATACATTCACCAGAGCACTAATTGTAACAGTAAATTTAAATCTGGTGACCAAAAGGGAAATATTCAATATATTTCAGTACTGGAAGAACAGGGCTTTTTTAAATGCTAGCAATACAGGAAAATGAAGGGAAGGCTCACATAAACTGCTTATACTGCAGCTTAATACTATAAGCAGGAACAGAATAAGCCCCAAGTTCAGGTGTTTTTCGTCCCCTCTTGTGCCAGTCTGGGAGTAGGAATAAATCAGAATGAAATTGACCCCAATCCTGGATTGTTACAACATACAATTTGGGAACTGTGGTTTAATATAAACTCTGGTCAGTTGCTGAACACCAAACTGCAATCCCTGTATGTTTAGTGTCCTGTTTAACAAAGTAGGGTTCACTTTAAATCACAGCTTCCCATGAATGACAATCCCATGCAGGGCCAAATTAATGTCCATGTACATCACACAAAGGACATTCAGTGTAGAGTTTACTTATTTATTCAAAATACTTTCAGGGCAGAAGCCCTCCCTAGGTGGTGAACATCAATTAAAAACACATAAAATGAATACAGTTGAAAACCCAATACATAATAAAAAAGTAATAACAAACAAGAAAAACAGTAACAACAGCGATCATGTCAGAAGGCCAAAGTAAAATAATGTTTTCAAGGGTTTCTTTAAAAATTGCAACAAGGGAGCATGGTAAACCACAGTGGCAATTTAATGAGAGAAGGCCACACATGAGAAAGGGCCACATGGGTGCCAGTGGCGTAAAATCTGAAGTTGGCCACCACCGAGTAGATCTCTGGACAAAGGCCATATAATAGCTCCGGCGGAGCTTTTTCGGGTGGTACAAGGGCTGGTCCGTCCTGGCCCTAAGAAAGATCTGGTTCCACCCTCGAAGGCTTGCTGTGATGACTTTGCCAAGCATTTCAGGGAGAAAATTGCTCAGATTTGTCACGAGCTAGACTCTACTAGTGATTCAGAGGTTTCTGGGGAGATACCAATGTCGCCGTCTGGTCCAAAATTAATGGATGAATTTCAGTTATTGCGGCCTGATGATGTGGACAAGGTGCTTGGACGAGTACATCCCACCACTTGCCTATTGGACCCTTGCCCATCTTGGTTAATAAACAACGCCAAGCATGGGATTGGGACCTGGATCTTGGAAGTGGTTAACGCTTCTCTGAGGGAGGGTCGAGTACCTGCCCCTTTAAAGGAGGCAGTAGTCCAACTGGTCCTGAAGAAAGCGTCACTGGATCCAGAGATGGCCGCTAATTATAGACCAGTGGCCAACATCCCGTTTCTGGGCAAGGTGTTGGAGCGGGTGGTGACGGGACAACTCCAAGCACTCTTGGATGAAACTGATTATCTGGACTCATTTCAGTCCGGCTTCAGACCCGGGTACGGTACTGAATCTGCCTTGGTCGCCCTGTACAATGACCTGTGCAGGGAGAAGGACAGGGGGAGTGCGTCCCTGTTGGTTCTTCTGGACCTCTCAGCGGCTTTCGATACCATAGACCATGGTATCCTTCTGGATAGGCTAGCGGGATTGGGGGTCAGAGGCACTGCTTTGCAGTGGTTCCGCTCCTATCTCAATGGCCGATTCCAGAAGGTAGTGCTGGGGGACTATGGCTCTGCACCATGGCAGCTATGCCATGGAGCACCGCAGGGATCCATTTTGTCCCCTTTGGTGTTTAACGTCTACATGAAACCACTGGGAGAGGTCATCAGGAGGTGTGGGCTGCGGAATCATCAGTACGCTGATGATACCTAGCTCTACCTCTCTTTTTCCACTGATCCAGGTGAGGCAGTGGCTGTACTGAACCGGTGCCTGGCCGAGGTAATGGGCTGGGAGGGCCAATCAACTGAAGCTCAGTCCAGACAAGACGCAGGTCCTGTTGGTTGGCGGATCGGGCTTCGGGGAGGGTGAATTGAACCTAGTCCTGAATGGGGTTGCACTCCCTTTTAGGGACAAGGTCCGCAGCTTGGGAGTGCTCCTCGACCCAGAGCTTTCACTGGAAGCTCAGGTGTCAGCGGTGACGAGGAGCGCTTTCTTTCTGCTTCGGCTGATCCATCAGCTGCGCCCGTACCTGGAGAATGACTGCCTGGCAACAGTGACACACGCGTTGGTGACTTCCTGACTTGACTTCTGTAACGCGCTCTATGTGGGGCTGCCCTTGAAGATGGTCCGGATACTCCAATTGGTTCAAAATAGAGCTGCCAGACTGCTGACGGGGACTGGGCGTTATGTTCACATGACTCCAGTCCTCCGTCAGCTTCACTGGCTTCCCATTGAAGTCCAGGCCCAATTCAAGGTGTTGGTGATGACCTATAAAGCCCTTAACAGCTTGGGTCCTGGTTACCTGAAGGAGCGCTTACGTCCATATATGCCCACCTGTGGGATCAGCGGGAGAGGTCCTCCTCCGGGAACCCTCCGTGAAGGAAATTAGGAGGGTAAGTACTCGGAGGAGGGCTTTTTCTGCAGCAGCGCCCAATCTATGGAATGTGCTCCCCAGAGAGGTCCGCCTGGCGCCGTCGTTATTTGTTTTTCGGCGCCAGGCGAAGACCTTTTTATGCAAACATTATTTTAATTGTTAATATTATTTATTTATTTTATTCTTTGGCCAGGGCAACTTAATTTATATTGTTTTATAGGATTCTATTTATTTATGGTTGTGAGTCACCCTGAGGCTTTGGCGAATGGGGCAGCATAGAAGTTCCCTAAATAAATAAACAGGAAATTATGTCTGGACAAGGTACACGAACTTGTGTATGGAACATAGGGTCACACATGTGGGCCCCGCTCTGCCCCATCCCTTCCCGGTTCCCACCCTTACTGGGTTGAGCAGCAAGTTCTGAAGAGGATTCTTCTCTGCTTCACTTGAATTCCCTTGCAAGTGGAGTGCTGACTTTATATGGCTTCCTGATTTTGTGCGGAGAGTGCGGAGAGTTTCTGCCCATCCCAGATATACAGCAGGCTGCCTCATCTGGTTGCCCCTCAGATTTGCTGGCTACAATGTCCAGCATGGGCAGGCCGGGCATTCTGGGAATTGTAGTACAAACCCAGGGAAGTGTATCAGGTTGGGGAAGGCTGACCTTGGCACCTGCTTTTCTGTCTGGAGACCACAGCAAACCACTGTGAATTTAACCCTGGACTCAGTTGTTTAGGTTGGTGTCTTTGTTTTACTTATCTCACTAAAAGATAAAGGCAATCATATAATGTTTTTAACATGCTCCTATGAAACTGTAAAACAGTTTCCATTTCAGGGCAGGGAAACATCAAGTGAAATAAGGCTGTGTAAAGTATATATAAAATCAGCCACACCTTTGTGGCTGTGTTCCAGGAAGTTTTTTTGAACAAAATGCCACCCAAAGCACTATGTTTCATCATGCCATCTTCATAAATTTTAATCTGAGCCTTCTCTGTTGTTTGTTTCTTTAACAAGCAAGTCCACTGGGAAGCAGTGAAAAGCACTGGTAACAACGTAGGACGGACAAGAGACAAGAAATATTTCTGCCTTAGTCTTTTCAGCTTCCACTGATCAGAAATAGCAAGTAGGGATGTAGAGTGCCCAAATATGCAATGCTGTGATGTTGCTAGTCTTTTGTTTTAGCTGACTCGATCCTCCTTAGATCATGCCCTTTGTTTTTCATTGGATGATGCATCCCATTTCCAACACGGAAGAACAAGAAAACTCTGCACCACACATGGCCCACAGGGCAAGGGATGCTCATCTCCCCTCCCTCGAGGCGGGGGGAAGAGAAACAGGATGTCTATTATAGAAAGATCCTTCCTCCAAATGGGAACCGAAAGCGAGAGCTCAGCGCTGCACTTCTAACCGGTGCTCTTGTCGAAGCCTACCCGACCCAGCTTTCGGAGCCCGTTCTGCAAAGGTGAGAAACAGCACGCGCGGACTGATGGATGGGTTCAAGCCAACCTAGTCCCCCCTGTTCTTATAGCTATCGCAGCCTTCCTCATTCTGATGCTCTAAAGATGTGTTGGATCACAATTAGAGCATCAGGGTCGAGAAAGGCTGATCCAATAAGAGTTACTTCCCCACTCTTTAGGGCGGCTTGAAATAGCCAATGCTAATCACAACATGAAAGCAATCCAATCGCGTTAACTATTCCAGCAGCAGCAGCAGCAGCAGCTAAAGATTATGAGCGGAGGAAAAATATCAGCGGACCAAAGGAAGCACGGGCCTGCTCACCTTGGTCTCTCAGCACTGACATTCTTCCACACGCGACTTGGGGGTGGGCGGAGGGACTGCCGCGGCCTGCGATCGAATCCCTCCGCCGCGTTGTACCCGCGCGGGCCCAAGCCGGAAGCGCAAAGGAAACCGAAAGTTTTTCGCCGGGGCGCTTGGTTTGCAGGGCTGAGGCGCTTAGTGGGACGGGCCTCCGCTCTGGTGCAGACGCGGGTCGGACTCCTGTAGTTGCAATCGCGTCTTGCGCCTGCTCTCTGTGAGTCGGTCCTTAGGAGAAAGTCCTTCGGAAATTCCCGGGGAAAAGGAACTGTTCTTGGCAGTATCTGAGCGAGCGGCAGCGTTAATACGGGCGTTGGAGGAGCAGCGGATGCGTTGGGGGAACTTTCGCAGCGCTGAGATAGGAAAGGGCGCTGCGCTTGTCGAGGTCGTAGATCAGGTAAAGTATTTGTAAGGCTATATCCATACAGAGCTGTGCGTTCTTAGTTTGGAGGGAGTTCAACTCAGAATCAGACTACAGTGGGCGTTAGTTACATTGGCAGACAAGCAGTGCATCCCTGTTGGTTCTTCTGGACCTCTTAGCGGCTTTCGATACCATCGACCATGGTATCCTTCTGGATAGGCTAGCGGGATTGGGGTTGGAGGCACTGCTTTGCAGTGGTTCCGCTCCTATCTCAATGGCGGATTCCAGAAGGTGGTGCTGGGGGACTATGGCTCTGCGCCATGGCAGTTAAGCCATGGAGCACCGCAGGGATCCATTTTGTCCCCTTTGCTGTTTAACGTCTACATGAAACCGCTGGGAGAGGTCATCAGGAGGTGTGGGCTGCGGAATCATCAGTACGCTGATGATACCCAGCTCTACCTCTCTTTTTCCACCGATCCAGGTGAGGCAGTGGCTGTACTGGACTGGTGCCTGGCCGAGGTAATGGGCTGGGAGGGCCAATAAATTGAAGCTCAGATGGAGGTCCTGTTGGTTGGCGGATCGGGCTTCGGGGAGGGTGAATTGAACCTAGTCCTGAATGGGGTTGCACTCCCTCTTAGGGACAAGGTCCGCAGCTTGGGAGTGCTCCTCGACCCAGAGCTTTCACTGGAAGCTCAGGTGACAGCGGTGACGAGGAGCGCTTTCTTTCAGCTTTGGCTGATCCATCAGCTGTGCCCCTACCTGGAGAATGACTGCCTGGCGACAGTGACACACGCGTTGGTGGCTTTCCAACTTGACTTCTGTAACACGTTCTACGTGGGGCTGCCCTTGAAGACGTTCCGGATACTCCAATTGGTTCAAAATTGCCAGGCTGCTGACAGGGACTGGGCGTTATGTTCACATGACTCCAGTCCTCCGTCAGCTTCACTGGCTTCCCATTGAAGTCCGGGCCCAATTCAAGGTGTTGGTGATGACCTATAAAGCCCTAAACGGCTTGGGTCCTGGTTACCTGAAGGAGCGCTTACGTCCATATATGCCTGCCCGCCCCCTGAGATCTGCGGGAGACGCCCTTCTCCGGGAACCCTCCGTGAAGGAAATTAGGAGGGTAAGTACTCGGAGGAGGGCTTTCTCTGCAGCGGAGCCCAATCTATGGAATGCACTCCTCAGAGAGGTCTGCCTGGCGCCGTCGTTATTTGTTTTTCGGCGCCAGGTGAAGACCTTTTTATTCAAATGTTATTTTGTTAATATTATTTATTTTATTCTTTAGCCAGAGTGGCTTAATTTATATTTTTAATTCATATAGTTTTATTGTTTATTTATTTATGGTTTGTGAGCTGCCCTGAGGCTTTGGCAAATGGGGCAGCATAGAAGTCCCCTAACTAACTAACTATCTAACTAACTAACGTAGTGGCATTTATCTTGGGGACCCTGGCCTTGCACTAATTTCCTGTGGAAAATCTGGCCACTAAATAGACTTTTCCCTGTAAATTTGGGGGGGGGGGGGGGGGAGAGGGCTGGGAAGGAAAGGAGAAGTCAGTTTGGAGGAAAGCCAGGTCGGAATCAGCAGCATATTCCGGATTGGGACCATGTTGTTACTGTTCCTTCAAAATAAAAACAAACAGGTAGAACACTGGTTTGATTTCCTTTCCTGGTTATGCCTATTACCCGGAGAAACCAGCTAGGCAGTGTACAAAACCCCCAAGCCACTTTTAAAGGGAAGAGTAGTTTGCTCCAAGCAGCTCTTGTCAACTAAGGTTCAGAATTGAGGAGGTGAGGTGGATGAGCTGCCTAGTTCAGTGGCAATTCTTTGGACCAACCACTGCAGCTCCTTGACAACTGATAGTGGGCCAAAGAGATGGCCTCTTGTATTGGCTGTCCACTTTAAATGTAATTCAGTTACTGTAAATGTTGTATTCTAGCAATCTATAATATGACGATTGCGTTTAAATTGCCTGTACTGCAATCCACTTTGAACACAGTGCTTTTATGGATAACGCATTAACCAAATGACTGCAACAAAATTATGATAGCACTGGACAAGCTAGAGGTGAAGGTTTCCATTTCTGTGTTCTCTTGATCTAGAAGGCTACTGCAGATTCAGCTTCATCTTGGCTCACTAACTGGTTAAAGAACATAAGCCAGAGATGGGAATAAATGGGACTTTCTCCAAATGGAAAGAGGTCACTAGGGGAGCCCCTCAAGGTTCTGTTTTAGGACCAATGCTTTTCAACCTATTCATAAACAATCTGAAATTAGGAGTAAGTAGTGAGGTGGCCAAGTTTGCTGATGGCACCAAACTTTATAGGGTGATTAAAACCAAAAAGAATTGTGAGGAGCCCCACAGGGAGCTCTCCAAGCTGGCAGAATGTGCATCGAAATGGCAGATGCAGTTTAGTATAAGCAAGGATAGAGTAATGCATACTGGGGCAAAAAAATCCAACTTCAAGTATACACTGAATGGGATCTGAACAGGCAGTGAAAAGGTCTTGGGTAGTGGTGGACAGCTTGATGAAAATGTCAGCTGCTGTGACGTCAGACTGCATGCTAGCTTTAATTAGTAGCAGAATAGAAAGCAAAACTGCCAAAATCTCACTCCCCTTAGACAAATCTTTGGTGCAATCATGCTTGGAATAGTGTTCAGTTCTGGTCATCTAACCTGAAAAAGAACATTATTGAGTTGTAAAAAGTACAGAACAGGGCCACAAAAATGATAGTACCCTTATGCAGAGTGGCTATGACAACAGGGACTCTTCAGCTTAGAAGAAAGGCAAGGAAAGAGAGACATGGTAGAAGTGTTTAAAATAATGCATATTGTGGAGAAAGTTATTCTCCCTCTGCCATATCATTTGAAGCTGAGTTCATCCCATGAAGCTGATTGATGGGAGTTAGGATGATTAAAAGGAAGTACTTCTTCACACAGTTTATAGTTAAATTATGGAATTTCCTGCCATGGGAAGTGGTGATGGTGGCCAATCTGGATGACTTTATAAAGGGATTGGATAGATTTATGAGGGAGGAGGCTATTATTGGCTACTAGTGCTACTTGCTATCTATGTGCTTCCTGCATGCATCAGTTGTTGAGAAGCTTGCACTGGAGGAAGTCTTGCACCAGTCCTGTTGAGGGATCCTGTGGGCAGCTGGTTTGCCACCATGTGCATGGAGTGCTGGACTAGATTGACCTTTGGTCTGATCCAGCATGGCTTTTCTTATGTTCTTATGTTTTGCAATTAAGGGCCAAGTAGTTTGTTTTAAGCCATGTGAAACACTGACTTTTTCTTCTAGGACTGCCATGTCTAGCTTTGAAACTGCAGACACTGAAGAGAAAGCAACCTGCCTCCAAATTACTGTCTATCATCCAAGACAGGAGGAGCTGCAAGTATTCCGTGACTTCAATTTTTGCCAGGAACAGCAGCTGAGAGCTGATGATCTGGTTAAGTTTGGAAGGGACTGTAATAGCTGCCATTTTAACTTCTTTGATGCACGGGTTTCACGCATTCAGTTTGCCCTGCAATTTTTCAGACACTTCAACAGCTCTGAGTTTGGTTTTGAAATTAAGAACTTAAGCAAAAGGGCTAAACTAATCGTGGACAATATTGAACTGGGCTACCTGAATAAGGTTGAACTCCCAGAGACATGCATGATTCGCTTTGGAGATTACCAGATGCTAATGCAAAAACATGAAGGACAGTCAGAGGACTATTTTGACATTTGCTTTGAATTGGCCCGAAAGTCACTGTGGCATGAACAAAATCTCTCTGTGCGGGTACCTATCCCTGATACTAACATTTCCTATGCTGTCTCACCAGTAGAGATGGATGAGAATGAATAAAAGGGAAAGACCCATGAGAAACCACTGTCAGTGTTCCTTGTTCAATGCATAACTTTTTGTCCTGTGTCTCACAGCAACTGAAAGTTTTCCACATCTGCATATGTGCAAAAGTTAGCAGCATCCTCTGCATTTTGCCTCAGCCCTCCCATTGCTCTTAAATCTGGTTCCATGATGTGCTGAACTTTGTAACTAAGAATGTAGTACCCAGGTTTGCTGTTTTCCCATCCTCCCTCCCAATCACCTTTCCTTTTGTGGTGCTTCTTAGTAAAGTGTATGGGCAAAAACTGTCTTATTTTTTTATTGGTATTGTTGTGAAAAATATAGCTACTTGTAAAAGTACATTATTTTAAGTATTTTTATTTCATTGTTATGAAACTAATGAAAAAGTTCCAAACATAAAGGAATAATTAAATAGAAGCATTTTAATGCAACATTAAATGCATGGTGAAGTTGTTTTGTTCCATAAATTTTGTAGGGTTCCTCCCTACCATGAAAAAAGATGCAATTTCTGATTGAAGGTTTAGCTAGATTTGGCTTTCTAAATCTTGTGTTGTTTTATTGAACTTGTTTGTTGACTTGTGCTATATTTTGGTCCTTTCTACTTACATTTTCTAGCTTGGGCATTCTGGAAAATTTCCTGAATGTATCTTTTCTCTTAAATGGAAGATACTAGATCCTAGGCATTTTATTTATTTAAAAATAAACAAACATCCCATAAATAATGCTCCATTTTAAGGGAGTGATGCTACATCCCCTAGATATTAGAGGGAAGTGAGAGCACAGAGCACTTTCTTCATATCTGAGCTGGAAAACAGCTGCAACCTTGGAGCTAGGATCTCCTTGCAGTCAGAGAGGAAAGAATGCTTCTGGCTGCCTCTGAGATTGGGAACTTGACTTTGGAGAGAGGCAAAGGGAGTATGCTAGAGGACAGGCTATGACATATCCTGTGCTATCTGCAGTTGCCTTCCCTTTCCTGAAGTTCTCTAGTTAAATGACTGGAAATGGCTGTCTTGCAAAAATGCAGCACAGGAGTAACAGGTCGGTGGAAATAGGCTCTTCTGTTCTGCACAGGATACCCATAAGCAAGCCTCAAAGCAGGTATGGTGTGATGAGTAGAATGCGATGTTGCAACCAATGTCATAGGAACTATTGCCACCTCTCACCATAACCTCCTTACAGGTTATTGTAAGGATAAACAGGATGGGAGGAAGAGGACAGTATACCATGACCAACTTGAACAAGAGTTTATGTACTGCCAAGTTGTCTCTGGCTTTTGGTGACTGTATGAATGAGCATCCTGTGAAATGTCCTTGTCTTTTGTATATTAAAGATGCAGATTGTACTTGTCTATAGTTAGGCCACTTAAAATAACATTTATGATGCCACAGTGAAGTAACATCAAATCCAACTCACAAAGGAACAAACTGTTAAGAATTTAATAGTGAATAAGTACATTTTTCAGCTAATTTTATGCTGAGTATCAGGAGGAAAGAAAATGGCTTTGGGATAATTTCACCAATGTAATTCATTATTTTATCTAAATCTATTCCAGTCCAACTAAGTCCACAATTGCAATAGGATATACCACAGCAAAGACATTCATCTTTTCAAGTAGGAGCAGGCAAAAGGTAGATCTATATATTCCGGTAGGTCGCTAGTCTTCACTCAGCCATGATTTGGCCAATCACTGACTCAACCTAATCTACCCTAAAATGTGAAGAGACTGATGTGAAGAGAAAATGAATAGTTCATGCTACATTCTGTGCAACTGGGAAAAGGTGGAATATAAATTTAATAAACAAACACAATCATCAACAAAATGGCTCCTTTCCCAATCCTCCCTAAAATTATAAGGCTGAAATGGAGAACAGGGGTAAATAGGATTCTGCTAAGTTCTGGTACTCAAAATTTAAAGTCAAATTGGATCTTCTAAGTGTGCCATGCTAGGTGTATATTCTTTACACCATTCTCAAGGGATGAATCTAGTAAAAAGTCATGTGGCTTCAAGTATGTGGAAAATTGATGTGAAAGAAGCCAATTCGGACAACACTAAGATTTTTGAATGAAGTGGTCCAAGAAAATGTATGTGATGCTACTGTGTATGCCTGCGATGCAGAAATTTCAACATCTCAAACTGTGAGGCTGGCAATGAAATTCTTAATTTGCAGAATTAATTATCTTTCAAAAATATGCCAAAGGTTCAGTTCCCCATTCTCCTTATAAATGCTAAAAGCTCATGGGTGGGGGGGTTGGATCTAGATTTTTCCAAAGGTAAACAAAAAATCCAATGTATAATCAGGTTTCTCTCTTAGAAAAGTCTTTTGGGGGGGTTGCGTTGGGTGGAAGTCAACACTCATCAGTCATTACATAGATGCATGAATACAGATTTAGCTATGTCTCTTATATGATTGTATGTTAAAGATGGGGATATATTCTGGGTGAATGTGACAGCTCAAAGGGCTATGTAGTCCAGGATCCTGTGTCTCATAGTGGATAACCAGATACTTCTGGGAGGCTCAGAAGCAGACATAAAAACAACAGTACCTTCACTCTTAGTGTTCCCTGGGATATGGCTCTGATCCTGGAGTAGGTACATAGCCATCATAATTAGTAGCCATTGACAGCTTTATTACACACGAAAGGCTATGGTTTCAAAGGCAGAAGTCTGAGTTTAGAAATGACATTTTGTGCACATTCTGGATGAAGAAAAAGAGGAGGAAGGCTTCACCTGAATATGTACTATCCTGGTGACACTTCAGCCTTCTGTTCTTGCACAGCAGGATAAGTTACTTGGGTGACTGAAACTGTTCAGCCATCTTAAGTTTTTTGAAGGATGGGAGGAATGCAGAGGCAACCTTTATTTCCATGCTTCTGTCCTCCACTGGATGCCCAATAGTCCTCTCGAGTTTGAAGGCTTATAGGCAGACATATTGGACTGTGCTGCCTATTAATGACAAATTATGATGGCTGTATTGATTACCAGCAGCTTGGGCTCTGCAGGATCATCTGGTTGATTGCTGGAAAATATTGCATTTAGTCTTTTCATTTTAAATTAAGAAGCTTTATTGCTTTTTTATGTTGCTAGAAATTTGAGTTATCAGAGAGGGGGGCGGGTACCATATACAATCTGAAGTTCATTAATTAACTAGATGATTGACGGAATCAAGGTGAAACAATCCTATAAAGTGAACTTTAGCAAGGCACATCTACTAACTCAAGCTGTTCTCTCAAAAACAGGAAGAATAGAAAGTGTAATGTTCAGTTTCCAATATAAGCAGTAATAGTATGCTAAGTTTCAAGTGTGTAAAAAATTTATTCACAGCTTGAGAAATTTAAATTTTAAGGACTAATAACAGGACAAAATCAAGAAGAGACACATTAGCTTATGTCAAACCAAAATATACATTTGAAGTGTACAAATCTCTTATAATAAAGGATATTACAAGCATTGAAATGTTGAGCTCAACATATAGCAGTAAAGTTTCCATTCAAGAAATCCAATATATGAAAAAGGTAAGCTGTGGAAGTTGACATATATACATGTGGTCAATATCTGTCTTTCTGTAAATATAAAAGGCACGGGGAAATAAATCAATCTGTAGTGAGCCTGGCAAATTACATGAGTTGAAATGACCATACAAGCATCTGGTAAATTGTTTACTGCTATTGACTACTGAACATCTAATAATGTATTATTGGAACAGTGAGTAGTATGTTAAAAAGTGAACATTCTGAGTCTGGAATCAAGTTCTATAAAGTAGTCTTGATAATTGGAGCAACAAAAGGTAAACAAGTCAGAAAAATCAAGAACAGTCTTCCTGAACCTGGAGCCCTTTAAATGTTTTGGACTGCAACTTCCATAATACCTCAGTCATGTTGGCTGAGGATAATAGGTGTTGTAGACCAAAATGCATCAGGTTGAGGGAGGCTATGAAAAAGAATGATCATAAATTTAGACCAATGAAGTCCCATTATAGGACAAGAGGGTCAGATGCTGAAGCTGAGTCCAAGTGTTGCCATTATTGGTTAGTTTGCAGTTTGTTTGGCTGTAACAAAAAATTGCCACTGTTGGCAGTGTTTTAGCAGGAAATATACAGCTGAACTAATGCTGATCAATTAAATTCTAGGCTGCTGTTTTTCCTTTTTGCTGTAGAGCTGCTGCTGCTGCCTAAAGCCACAGTGCTATTTGTACAGCTTAACTGCATAGCTTAATTCTTATATGTACACCACAAGAGCCTTTTAGAAAGGAGAAGTCCCTAAACTAGGAATAGAAGCACAGTGTGTAAACCAGGATTCAAAAATGAAGCAATCATGCAAATAAGTACTGCTGCTCCCCAATACTACTGCTGAACTATGCAATATTCAGGTTTGTTATATCTCAAACATTTGTGTGGCAGACCCAGATAATCTATTAAAGAGCAAGCACCACCCCAAAGATGATTTCTTTTCAGAAAAACAACCCTCCAATCATTAAAACTATTTCACAGAAAGGTAGGTTTTTTTCCTGCAACCTCACACGTAGCCAAAAATTGATAACCAACAATAAGTTCTCTTGAGAATTAATACACAAAGGATTTTTATAATAAAAATAAATATAAGCAACATCATTCTTCATCTTTCAACAGTAATTAAACTTGATTAAGTTACTGCTTTTATCACTAATCTTAATCACATGTATGGAATGTTTTACACACTTGGGAAAAATATATTTGAATCTGGAATATCAATTTGCATTAATACATCCACAGAAAGGAATCACGCTTTCCGTTTTCCACGTCAGACAAGCACTATTTTTCAAGTTTTAGCTATTAAGATCAGTTACTATTATGTTAGCAACTGTTAATTAATTGCAGTTACAGAATTAATTTTGTACAACTTGAAAGACATACACAATTAAAACCTTTATATTAGCAGCATTTGGCATTTAAGTTGGTTAAAACTGGACAGCTTCTCTAAACTTACAAAAAACTTTCATTAGAGCATCCAGTTTTTAAACACAGATGTTTTCAAAGTTTTTTTAAAATCATACTTTATTCATAGCTCATCCTGTCTTACGTGATGCTTTTGACAACCTCTTCTTAAGTGTGAGAGGCACTGTGCTTGAAATCTGATAATTTTTATTATGTAATAAAATGAAAAGAGATAAAGGTCCGTGTCATGTGTAAAATTCACTATTGTGAATTCACTATTTAGAACAAACTTAACATGGAAAAGTAAACATAAAATTGCTGTCTATTTTATCAAATAAGGTGTTAAACAAATGTCCTAGAAGTACGCTCATGTTAATATTTTAAAAGAAAACCAATTAAAACATCAAAATGCAATGATTCATTTAAGTGCATACAACTGTATGTTAAAACCCAAGAACAGACACAATATAGTCATCGAGTACTTTCATATAAGTTCAAAGGTAGATCTTAAAATTGCACTTACAATTTTGAATTCAGATAACAAACCATACTCTTATTCTTTACCTGATATACTTCATAGCATGGTTGCCTTCTTTTTCTAGAAGTAATCCAGAACTCAGTTCACCAAGTTCGATCACTGTGCAACGTCCTTATTTTAAGGAGACTGTGCAGCAGCAATTATTGGGAAGATTGTGCACAATAAAGATTTGTAGGTAATGGTTGTAGGTAATGATTTCATTATCTGTCTTGTCGATCAGCATCAGAATGTTTCTCTGATGCAGACAGTTCCAAAACAGGGTTTACAAATCCAGCATACTCTGAGTTGCCATTATCATCCATTTCTGCACTAACAAAATCATTCTCCCATTCCAAACCATTAGAGTCATCTGAGGCAGAAGCTGGATTACTTCCAGTTTTCTTGCTGCTAAATTTTAATGCTGCCCGCAGTATATCTTCTTCAGTTTTTGAGCGTTCTTGCAATGGGATCATTCTGTTCATACCTGAAATGTAAGGAATTGCTTTAAAAGCATTGTCTTTTGGTTCTATAAACTACTTGATTTCCAATGGTTTAGAGATTCTAGTATATGTATCCTGAATTAAACTTGCCTCCTCCCCCCAAAAACTTGCTGACTTTTTTTTCTGAACTATGTACACTTGGGGATACAGAGCCTTTCCATCTATTTTTGCCTATGTTCCTCTTGTCATCGTTATTAAGCACTTCTAGGGCAGTATCCTATTTGATACTGGCACAAACATAAGCTACCACTAGTGCAGGATTCTCAATGCAAGGCTCAAGGGCAACTGGTGGCTCCTGATCACATGCAGCTCTTCACCCCTCTTTTTTGCACTACCTGTTCAACAGAGGCCCTCTAGCTCTGCTTTGCTTTAGCAATGGGCTGGCTGCTGTGAGTTGGGCTACCTGAGTAGGTGAGTCAGGAGACTTGCCATTTATTAGCTATTTGGCAACTGGAGTGAGGAGGAAGAGGAGAACACTAGAGCGACTGTGAAAGGAGAGGAGGCCAAAAACAATGGAATAGGCGAGCTGCAATGTAAAACTGCTGATGTCAGGAGTAAAATAATGTGCAGGCAAGAAATGTGGACCTGTGCTGGGAATTCTGCAGCACTGAATGGAGCAGAGAACACTTTCTATCATGAGGAAAAGATCTGATCCAATCCAAGGACTCCGCCAGGCTGGCAAAATTTGCTGATTGGTGGCTGAAGCCTCATTTGGACAACATGGTGGAAAGTGAGAAGGTGAAGCCACAAAAGACATCTATGAAGATACCACTCTAATGGCAGAAAGTGAAGAGGAACTAAAGAGCCTCTTGATGCAGGTGAAAGAGGAGCGCGTAAAAGTTGGCTTGAAACTCAACATTAAGAAAACTAAGATCATGGTCCTATCACTTCCTGGCAAATAGATGGGGAAGAAATGGAGGTAGTGACAGATTTTATTTTCCTGGGCTTCAAGATCACCGCAGACAGTGACTGCAGCCAAGGAATTAAAAGATGCTTGCTCCTTGGGAGGAAAACTATGATAAATCTAGACAGCATACTAAAAAGCAGAGACATCACCCTGTCAACAAAAGTTTGTATAAGGCAAGGCTATGGTTTTCCCAGTTGCAATGTATGGCTGTGAAAGTTGAACTGTAAGGAAGACTGAGTGATAAAAATTGAGAATTTTGCTTTGTGGTGCTGGAGAAGACTCCTGCAAGTCCCTTGAACTGCAAGCAGATCAAACCAGTCAGAGGAGATCTACCCTGATTGCTCTTTAGAAGGCCAGATACTTAAGAGGAAACTCAAATACTTTGGCCACCTAATGAGAAGAAAGGACTTGCTGGAGAAGAGCCTAATGCTGAAACAATAGATGGCAAAAGAAGAAGGGGATGGCAGAGAATGAGGTGGCTAGATGGAGTCAGTGAAGCAGTTGGTGTGAGCTTAGGTAGGCTCCAGGGTATGGTGGAGGACAGGAAGGCCTGGAGGAATGTTGTCCATGGGGTCATAATGGGTAGGATGCGACTTCATGACCGGCATAAGCACAAATTATTTATTTATCAGTTTTATTATTCTTATCTTGTCTTATTTAATGTTGGTAGTTTATTTATGAATTTTAATTGTTATTTTCCTGATTGTAATTGTGGAGTTTGTGTTGCATGTTATTTATGTTGTATATGATTTTATCATGATGTAAGCTACCCAAAGAGCCTAAAGGTAATAGAGTGGCATATAAATTGAATAAATAAATAAAACAAGTAAACTCATGAGTGCAAGAAAGAAATGTAGCCAAGACCAAGGAGTCCAAATACTAATTGAAACATGTAGCCTTAATTCCCGTCTAACCTGTCTCCCCAGGTTTTGTCTTAACTAGCTCATGTAAACCTCTCTGTAAAATGTAATTGCAAGCAACTTTTTAAAAAGTGTTAAAAACATTGGGTTCCAGTACTTGAGCAACAGAGCTTCTGCCTTTTCTCCCCTTGACCCCAAACCCTGCAAGTCCCCCAACCTGCTGAAACAGATTTGGAAGGCACACTGGGGTAAAGGGAGAGCAATTCCTTCCACCAGCAGTTTCTGTTCTCTGTATGTAGCCCAGAAAATTCGGTTTAGGCAATGTGAACAGGCAGAATCTTGTAGCAGCAAAATTCCCATGCTAGTTCTGCAAAGTTCCATTTGTTTTTCATGCTATAAAAAAACAGGTAGTTGGACTGACAGAAAAGGTCTCACCATTTTGCTGTAACAATCCATAGAGAATGCAACCAAGAACAGCAGTGGGGCAGAACAAACCGTAGAACAAACTAAACTTTAATTACATGCCCTATTAGAACAGTCTCAGGAGACTCTTTTAAGTGTTCTAAGAAAGTGACACTAGAATATGTTTTATGCAGCTGCTCTGATTTTGTTCAAGTTTTCCCAAACGTTTTAATTAAAATGGCTCATTAGTACAATTCCACTTTATCCAATGTCCATGCTCACATGACATGCTAAGCAATCCTGCAATTCAACTATACAGTATGGATTGTTTAAGGAACAACCCATGCAATCTGACAATTGTGTTGGATGACTGCACTATGATTTAGTCTCTTCCTCTTTATTCTTTGGTCCTTCAGCTGCTATACTCCCACTGTCCCTTGATCCTTCAGCTGGAACAGTGTACTCCCACTAACATTTGGTGCACTTACTTTTGTTACCTTCCCCCCTTTATCTGTTCTTTTCAGCAGACAGCTTAACAACTTGACACTGGCAACTGTGCACACATCACCCAGTTTTTCTGTTACTTATTTCCATTTGCTGCACCCTTCAACAGCTGAAACAGTCAATGAAACTGTTCAAGCAAGAATACACATATAACAGCACATTTGTGAAAGATCAACCAAAACAATAATCAAAAATTTATGACACAATGTTACAATTTTTTAAACAAGCGTAGGGAACCACTGACAAGTACTCCAAATGGTCAATAGGGCATTGGTGAAAGGCTGTTACTGACAGTGGCAAAGGTGAGAGCACAAAAAGCAGCAGGAATTTTGGCAGCTCACCTCAGCAACCCATGATGAAAATGGTCCCCAGGTTCATATGGCATGACAACAATCCTGGGTAAAATACTCTAGAATAAGCCATGGTATGATATGACAATTCTAGAAAAAGCATCATCCCATGGGAAGTGGTTTTAGGTTTGGACGATACAACACACTGTGGCTAGTTACCCATGATGAGTTGTCATATTTTAACCTGTCTCAGTTTTGGATTTTAAATTTGGGTTTTTAAACATGTGTAGAGAAATGTTAAGTCTTTATTTTTATCTGTATTTCATAATGTGTTTATTGTATTTTTTTAATCCTGGAATCTGCTCAGACAGCTTTGAATATTGCGCAGTATAGAAACGATGTAATGTGAACCCAGTGTTTATGTGTACACACCTGTGCATGCATACATGTGTATCCTTTTATGTTTTTAGCATTTCTGTGACATTTAACTTTCTAAGCAAGGTATCATCAAGAAAAAACTATAGCAGCAGGATGCATGGGTCTGGAAGCATGTGATTGTACCCCACTGTATGTTAGAAGCTCCATTCCCTCTGTTTGCCTGTGTTTGCATTTTCTCGCCCATCCTATGTAGATGCACCTTCTCTTTCTTTGGCAAAGCTGGACAAGAGAAACCATAGCTGATGAGCTCTACTGCTACCTTATGTAGCTTATGCCATTTATGAAACAAGCAAGGACATAACTGTGAGGATATTTCAAAGAAATCAACAGTATCTGATGTTCAAACAGTCTAACAATATTCACATTGCTTATGTCAGTGAAATCCTTAGTAGAGCAGGTATCAAATACCTTCTTCATCTTCCCATTCTAAATCTAAGGAATTACTGTCATCATTTCCACTCGTTGATTTGGTTTTGGTCATTAAGTCACAACTGCTCTCTGTATTTGGTGTCAGAACAGTAGCATCTGATGAGAGTCCTGTGATCAAGAAACATTTTAAAACTTAAAATATGCCATCTCTATTAAACAGGTAACACACCAATACAATAGCTGTAATAACTTTTAAAACACAAACATATTCAAAATTTCTGTAAGCAAATGTCTACTCATGCAGCACTCCTACTGGAGGGAGTAGGATGAGGAGTGATTTCAGTTTCCTTTCACTTACAGCCCCTGTACTTTCCAATAATCTGCTCTGGAGAGCTAGGGGAACTAAGAAAGTATCACAAAGTACAGCAGGGAAATCAGCAAAATGATCTTCCCCAGCTGCCTCCTCTACTGGGAGACTCTGCTTGAGCTCAGGCTCTTATTTGTAGCAAGCACAAGAAACATCTTCAAAGTCATCTATAATTTTAACTGCAGTCAAAATGTATTGTGACTGTGTATTTTAAAAGATCCATATCAGCATTCCTCAGTAAGAAAATCAAGGATATCTACCTTAGGTCAGGAGATGTTACATTATTTTTATGAAGGGTACTGCATTTTGAATACTTGCAATTCACAGCCCACATGTCAAATGTATAGCCACGTGCAAGATGTCTAATTGTCTTCTATACCCGTTGCAATAACTTACTGCTACTCCGAAAAGCTTCATACTGTGGTTTAACATTTCTCAGGTAAGTATCTAAATCTTCTTCTGTTGTTGAGCTGAAAAAGAATGAACAAGTTATGCCAAAGAGAACTAAGTTCAGAGAAACATTTTGCTTACAACACTATTAATGTAATCCAACAGGATTGATGTTTGATAGATGGAAGGTTACAATCTCAAAATTTATCCTAAGTCTATCCTGCTTGTAAGATCAAGGCAGGGTGAAGGCCTTCACAGTCTCACTCTTTCATGTCAACATTTTGTGCTAGACAGGCCTCTGAGCTTCAACCCCAATTCAATTTCTAAAAAAGCAGTTTTAACATAATATTTAGTACTTTCATTCCCTTGCTGGCATTTTCCTTACATTTCCTTATAAATTTGTGGACCAGGCAAGTATATGTAATCCTCCACTAATTGAAGCCAATTTAAAGCTCAAGAGTTATTTGCATTATTTAAGTATTTACTTCAAGTTTCTAAAGGCTACCTGGTATCTTACCTTTGGGTATCTCCATTGTTTGTTCTTTGTGCTAGCTTCTGTAGCCTTCGTTGCTAAGAAAAATAAAAATGAACATTAAACAATTTAAGAAATAAGCTTAAAATAAAAGCATTTCTAAAAACCATTTTAATCTTATTGCCAACCTAAGAGCTTTAAATATTATCATATTTAATCAATGTTATTTTTCAATATATAATGTAATTACACTTGAGGGTGCTAAGTGTGAGAACAAGCTTCCAATGCAGACAAATTTCACTACTAATGTTATTGTTTCCTAACTTAGAAAAATAAAATTTCATCCTGTTCTGGGAGTCTTCTGCCCTTTCATTGGCAGTTCAGACTTTTTTTCAATAGCATAAGAATTAAGGAACTATAGTTAAGATCAGGAATTAGGAGAACTCGTATCGATATGAAGGGACAATATCATTATGGCAAAACCAATTCATGTTTTACCAAGTATACAGAAAGCAAAATTTCTTTGCTAAAATAAAGACAAACATGATTATTTACCACATGATTATTTGCCACATTCTTTAAATGGGAATAGGTAACACTTAAAAGCAGCTCACTAAGTTGGATGACTTTATTTAAGTGTGCAATATCTGATATAACCAGCAGTAGAGACAATAGACAAAAACATCAATAGGCTGTTAATATCTTTTTCATAAAGGCATTTCAAATGCTTAAGTATATTCAACAGAATCAAATATAATTATAACCTCTGTAATCTCCCTTTTTCATAAAGCTGCTGCTTGCAGTTGCTCTTTTCATTTCTCTACCACCCTATAGCCAAAGCTCTCTGGGTGGTTTACAGCAGTCCATAAAAACAAGACAATAAAATACAATAAAACATCACAAAATTAAAAAAAAAATAAAATCAAATAGCTAAAACATTCAGGAAAAAAAAGAACCTGTAAAAATATTGGAGGGGTACTCCACTCAACCCTATGCATGGGCAAATACATCTTTAAAAGCCTGGGCCTGAAGGGCTATCTTAACCTGGTGTCAAAATGTTGGCAAAGTTGCCACCAGGCTGACCACAGAGGGGAGGGTGTTCCACAGATGGAGGGGTCACCACAGAACCCCACAATGCCACACTCCAAGCTTCCTTCAGAGTTGGCACTTGGAGAAAGGCCCTGCAGGTTGAGCACAGGGTTCAAGCGGGTTGTGGCTGGGAGAGGTGTTCCTACAGCTATGTAGACCAAGTCACTGTCAGATACAAGACTCTTAATTATTGGGCTGACCTGAAGCAGCAGTTCTTAAAATGTTCTATTGTCAGAAAATCTGCAGTAATTGCTTATATTTATATATAGTTGGCTCTTAAATTCCATGCGTAGTTGGAAGAAACCATATCATATAATATAAAAAACAGGATTCTGCGCGCACACATGTGTTTGGGGTGGAGGAAAGGTAAAAGCCAAAAGTGAATGGGAGAGGATTCTAGTCACAACCCATTTTAAAACAATCATTGAAATTCCTTGTTATTAATACCTATCTACTTGTTGTATTCTGCCCTTCTGCCAAGGAACACAATACAGCATAAATGGCTCATTTCCCACTCTGTGGCAAGTTCAGGTGAGAGATGTGTGATCTTGGTGACTCATTGAACTTCATGTTTGAGTAGGGATTTGAACCTGAGTATCTCTGATCCAAGTATGACAATAAGTTACATTCCACTAGCTTTCAGATCAAGCATATAGATTATGATCTCCTTCACTTGCTTTCAGTACACTCTTTTGTATGCTTAGTAGTGCAAGACAAACTCTTTATCTTAGACTTTGCCATGTGATCTTCCAATCTACACTTTCTACTATATTCAGACACAATGTTAAGTTCTCTCTACTGTTCTGACTCAGAATACAGTTAGAAAAATTCACCTCACTTCCATGAATAGACAGACTGTCCACATAACTAAAGGATAAATCCTATATTCTTCTGCAAGATAAGTATACAAATATAATCTCAGGACCATACTAAATAACTGTCCAAATATCTACGCACCCAAATTTCAATAGTGCAATTTTAAAAATATGTATAGAGATGTTCTGTATAGAATATTCAATATTCAACTTACCAAAACAGACAAACAAACCCACCCTACTACAAACAGAGCTTCACCTTGGATATTCTTTTTAAGAAAACATAACACTAAGAGCAAGATACATAAGAGGCTCTGATACATGTATTTTGGGGTCTTTTCCCCTCACCTCCAAGAGCTTTCTCTGCTTTGCTGCCCTGGCTGCTTCACGCTGCGCAGCATATAAAGTCTCCTCTTCTATTCTTAACTTCTCCTCTTGTATGGCTAACTGTATATGAACAAAATAGTAAGGGTTAACAAAAGAGAACCTAGCTATCTCTCCTATGAAAATAAGTGCACTAAATGTAAAGGAAAAGTTATTCATAAAAAATATAAAACAAAACATGCTAATATATATATATATTAAAAAAACAAGGAAGCCTTTTCATACCATCCTCCAAGATCAGTTAGAACTGAGTTAGACATATTACCCTGATAAATAATAATTCCTTGAAAAGTAATCCTAGTTGTAGCTCATAAATGTATTTCAGTGGTCACATATAGATATTTGTCATACACTTTTATCTAATATAGACATTTAAACCATTTTTACCTAACAGAAGTATTGTATGCAAGTATAGGGAAAAACCTGAAAGTGAACTGTGAGTATTTGTAAACAGTAAAGAATTAAGACAGACCTCATTCCTATTATAAAATTATGCATCAATCTGGGCCCGTTTCATGAAGCCTGAATGCATTAGTCTATAATAGGGAGTGGGCACTTAGTCAAACTTGGAGTAAATACTGTTTGAAAATAATAAGTGCTTTTATGTAGTGTGGAATTAGCACATGCTATTTACCATGAAAGGCGCTAATTTCGGCAGATTTCTTGATACTTGTGTGTGTTCTAAATGTCTGAGTGCTGTTTCACAGACATACACTTCCATTTGTCTGTGCACACAGCACAGACCTTTTGTCAACCTGACCTACCTGGCCTGTATGTCTGCAAGACAGATGCTGCTGGAAGCATACATATTATGTGATACTCTTTTATGGGTGCATATGTTTTTACGTGTTTAAAAATATGATGTATGATATAGTACTTCATTATCCAAACAGAATTCCTCACCTCTCTTCCCTAATCCTATCATCAAAGCAAGATTGAAGCTTTGGGTTTGTTGTGCCAAACTGCCTTCATTAGTCTTTACCAACAAAGGATATGTAAGTCACTTGCATATCTTCTTTCCATGCTTCCAATGTGATGGCCAATGGCATACTTATACTCCTCCATGTTGAGCTCTATTTCTGTTTAATATCTTTTCTGTTAAATATTTCCAAGCTATTTTACATTGGCTCATCATATAAAATGCTATTGTAATGCTACAATAATCATCAAAAGAACTGAAAACAGTAAAAAGCAGTGCTAAGATCAGTCAGAGAAGAATTTTTTAATGTCCATCAAAGCACAGGAGAATAAGCAAGGTGTTTGTCTAGGACCTAAATGTTAAGGAATACATGGCACATGCCTTCCTGAGGAAAGAGTTCCACAAGTGAAGCTCCAGCAGCAGGATGCCACAACCAAAAGAGCTGTTTCATAAACATTCCCCACAGGGAAAATACAAAAGTTGTTACTTTCCACATACTAACCTACTTCAGGTAATTATTCCAGGCTTCATAAAACATGACTTATGAAGAGAATGAACATTTGAGCCAAATGCACCTTCCTTTCTTGTTCAGCCAGAGTTTCCAAACTGGGGAACACTAGTTTAAAATGACTCATCTTGCCTTGTTAAAAGGCATTAAGCCAGAGTGCTGAGGTCTAGAAGTAATACAAGCATCAAACAGGGCCCTGAAGTGATATGTAAAGGAAGGGGGAAGAGGCCTTTCTTTCTTAGATTATTATCCTGCTTTTTTCTTACAGTGAACTCACAGTGGCTTAAAAAATCCTCCATCTCCTGCTGACATTCTTATCCCCACAACAACAACACTGTCAGATAGGCTGGGCTAAGTGTCTGTGACTTGCTCAAAGTCACCCAGCTGGCTCCATGGCTGAGCAGGGACTAAAACCCAGATTGCCCGAGCCCCAGTCACAAGCTCCTAACCAACCACCACACCACACTGGCTCTTGATATTTGTTCTTACTTTCCTAAACCATGGTTTGTGAAATCTGGAATGATACTTTGATCCAGGTTTACATCAAAAGTGTGATAGTAGAATGTCACTTGTGTACCCTATGTCAGCACTTTCTCATAGTGCTGAAAGTTAGCAACAAATGGGTTGCTTTTATACTATATTTTTTTCTGATGGCATTTCTCTGTGTTTCCAATGGAGAGCTCAACTAAGGCTCTCATTACCTTAACTTCTGCAGGTTTTTCTTATTTTTGCTGGTTCACATCCTGCCCTATCAACTTTGTTCCATGCTAGCTCATCCACACTAGTTCATCACCCCAAGCTTCCCCCTTTGTCAGCCAGTTACTAGGACCGTCATTTATGTGTAGAAGAATATTTGCACAGGCTTACCTCTGCCTGAATCTTATCATCTAATGTTCTTTGTTTTTCAGCAATAGAATTATAGTGCCTTTCTCTTAGATCAGCAATTTCTTCTTCAGTCAATGGTCTGAAGAAAAGAAGGAAGAAAGATGTGACACATATGTCAATCTGATCCATCTCCAAGAACTTCAGCAGGCATTCAATGGCACTATACACTAGCAGAAGGAAAATGCTGGCAGAACGGATTTGGCCTTCCCTGAGAGAGTTTCTCACCGAAGGGTAAGGGACATTCAAAAAGAAGATAAGGAATGTGCATGGCAGGCTACGGAGGAGAAGTCAGGGAAGTACTGTAGCACAAGTGGTTTTCCACTCATGTTAGAGATGGATCTAACCTCATATGTAAAAGTGAGCTTCCATATGCAACCCTTAGAAGCATAAAGTACCATGTACAAGTCCTCTGCATATAGTTCCAAATCCTTTCCTCCAACTCCCTCCCATCAGCTGTTTAATAGAGCAGTGGGAGTGAGGCCTGAATTCATTTGCATACTTATAGCTATTTTGTATTCTTCTTTAAGTTCTTTCTAAAACAGAAGATGGAAGCTAGAACCACCCCTAAACCTGAAACACAGAAGTAAAATAAGGTCAATATTTTAAAAAGCATACTGTACATTCTTCCTTTGTACAACTCCTGCCTTATTTTTGTTTGTTTTTATTTAGACTAAACATGGATCTGCTTACTTTTATATACTGCAACAAATGACTTCTTTCCAAATAATAATAATAAAGGATGCTACAATGAGTATACACAACTGTGGCAAAGGGAACAAAAAACTTTACACATACAACCTCTTACCTTTGGCTGCTTCCTGGACTTTCACCCTGTTAAAATATTATATGCTTTGTTGAGATAAATTACAAGTTCAAACTAACTTCAAAACAAATTTGGTTTAATAAAACAATACTCCTTAAATACAATCTGTATTAAATGTATCAGCAAAAGCATATTTATGAAAAAGACCTGCAGATATATTCTAAGGCAAAAATGTATAAATCCATCCATAACACCTTGGTGCAAAACCATAGGCTGGTGCCTCATGGATTCTGCTGTCTTTTCAATTCTGGGTAATACAGATCTCAAAACAGCCACAAATTCTTTAAAGGGATATCAGTTGTCCGAAATTCAGCACTGTTCTGATTTAGCACTGTTCTGATTAACAGCTTAGCTGTTAATGAAAACATGTGGATCTAAGGTACACTGTGAAAAATAAGTATTATTACATATTACCAAAACTATTCTGCTCTTCAGTCCAAAAGGCTGAGTGGCTTGTGTAAAACCAACAACAAGGAAGTCTGAAAAACCTACAATCTAACTCAAGATTAAAAAAAATGAATAAGCAAACTGAGAAACCAGTGCTAAAAGTTATAACACTTTTATAAGGACGAGCCTGAATGAAAAGAGCTGACAGAGATGAGAAATCAAGGGGAACCACACAGTTAGAAGAGCGGTTGTACAATTCCATTTCTTCTCCTGCTGTAACTAGGGGGAAATGGCTTTTGTTAGATGACAGAAGCCCTACTAAACAGACCTCTCTGCTAACATTCATATAGAACTTACAAGCGCTCAAACATTTCATGCACGCCATCCAGGTGTGCACAAGTGACTTTTTTTCCACCCCCATTTGTCCATTGAGCATTTACAAATTACCTTAATTACCCTCCCAAGGCACAACTTAGGATGTTGTCTGAACCCATCAATGTGTGGGTTTGCAAAGCATTGCCACCACCTGCCCAACCTCAACAGGTTTGGATGATATAACTAGTTGTACCTGGAGATGGCAATTATGGTAAATTGTTAGTGTACAATCACGATGCACAGAGTAGGAAAATAACGGATTATTTAATTCCTTGATTATGCAAATTCTCCTCATGTCTAGTAATAATACTTACCACAAGTCAGTAAAAGAAGCTACTATCTCCCCTGAAGGACTAAGACAATTAGAAAGCAGCTTGCCTAAGGATACCTAGTGAGTTCTGGGCAGAGGCAGCACTCAAACTAGGGATTTACTAATTCACAGCTCATAGAACCTATGCTACAGCAGCTCTCCTATATGTTGCCTTGGGACCAAAACAACTTCTTATCTAAAGAGGACAGGACAGACACAGAGCAAAAATTATTCAAGAGTAGAGATTACCTGTCTCTCCCCATGCTACAGAATAGCATCTCTGTGAGCATGGAGGTAGTTATCCTACTTATTTAAGAACCTATGGTATCCTGTTTTTTCACTTATGTTCCCATTTCATTACCATTTTGGCCTCATCTTGTTTCATATGTGCTTTAGGAGCTCATGATCTAAGTTGCACATACAGTCTTTCTATTGATTTTTAGCAATAGGAAAATACTTACCTCATCACTTTCCACTAAATTCTCAAACTGCAAAAAGATACAATTATATTTAGTTAAACCAAAAATTACAGTTCTAGACTAATATGTATTTAGTCATAAGTACTACTGAATAAGATCTTGAACTTGCTTAAAAACCTATGCAAGGTCAAGTAAAATAGGTATTGTACATACTAACGCCTGAAAAGACAAATCCTAACAACATACACTTAGATAATAGTTACATGTGTCATGTTAATAACTTTGTATTTTTCCTACTGCAAAAGCAGCCTGGGTACCAATAACTGTGTTTTAAAGATACTAGGCTAAAGCCAAATTTAGCTCTACTTAAAGTTGGTGAAACGAAATAAACAAGACAGAGATAGTACCACTGATTTCAATGGCTGGCTAGGCTAGGGAATAGTGAGAGCTATAGGATTTTTTTTCTGTCTAAGGATGCATAAAATTGAACCCTAAGTCTTCTGAAATATTTTAGCCAGCAAATTTGGGATCAATGATTCTTCTCTTATTAGGTCCAAAGTGTAAGCAATAGTATGCTTTGAAACTGAAAACCTTTACTTACCTCTATAGTGAAATGTTCTCCTGCTGGGCATGTTCTAAAGTATTTTGATCTAGAAAATAAACCAACATTACCCAAATTAATGCAGCATGCTTAGAATAGGTTCTCATCACCACCTTCTAATATAAAGCCCCTTGTAGCATTAATAGCTGCCTATGAGAGAATTTAAATTGATATTGCTTTTTGGATCCCTTTGATAAATGTCATGAGAAGTTGCACATACCAAATTGCCTATTCCAAACAGCAAAGAAGATACAAGGTAAGAATGGTTCTCTCAGTATTAAGTACAGACAACATAAAGGAGCATAAAATCATGGATCCCAAACAGAGAATCAGGATTCATGACAATGAAATGTTGCTGAAAATGGACTTTAGAACATTGAGGCATATAATAAGAAAAAAAGATGCTACAGCATCTTGGCAATTGGAGAATATCCACTTGGCTCTGTCCACTATTAGAACATTTTCTGCATTGCTTATTAAAAGAATGGGTAGCTTCAGGGATGAATCTATCTTCTTTTCCCTCCAGGAACCAAATGGCAATTAGGATAACTGGTCCATCTTTCACGCAGTGGCACTGAACTGCTTTCACAAGCAGGACAATTATAGGGAAAAAATCTACAAATAATAATTTATATAACCCTATCTTTATATTGAAAGAGACAGACAGAGAAAGGCAAAGAAAGCAAGTGTTTCTTTTTGGATTCACCCTGCTCTCCAAGCTCCAATCAATAAGAAGAGCACTATTCTCCCTGTAAGCAAGGGACTGATACAAGTGTTCAACTCAGCTAGATGTGCAATAGGGCATGAACAATCTATATATGTCCTTGCCATTCATGGTATTAGGGAGACTTGGACATTGTAGAGAGATTTATTCAAGTTTGTGCTATGGGACAAATGATACACTTACCCTATCTATTTAGGCAATATGACAGACAATGGAAGTTGTCTTTTTACAACTTTCTGGATATGTGGCAACCTATATCAAGCATATAATGAGTTGGATTCAGAGTTTCTCAGACAATTCCATTGCAGGAAGGGTGGTGGAAGAAACATTTTTGGCAATTTCTCCTTCCCCATGCATCTGCCTGAAAAACTACTTTGGATGGTTGGGGAATCCTTTGGAATACCATGGAACATGGCACAGAAGGGCTACAGGAGAACTTGGAAAATGTCTCCCACATTTCCTCTAGTAGGAGTATCCCACCACCAGTTTACACAAAGGACACTCTGGACATCAACCAATACATTCAAAATTATGCTTAGCCCTATTATCATATATAAATATGTAACTCTCAGTTGGAAGCATAAGCAACCAGTAAAATTATATTTGGAATGGTAAATCTTGTACAAGTTATACTAAATTCATTTTAGACATAATAACCATGTTGTTGTTGTTGTTGTTAGTCGCAAAGTCGTGTCTGACCCATCGCAACCCCATGGACAACATTTTCCAGGCCTTCCTGTCCTCCACCATCCCCCGGAGTCCACCTAAGCTCACACCAACTGCTTCAGTGACTCCATCTAGCCACCTCATTCTCTGCCGTCCCCTTCTTCTTTTGCCATCTATTGTTCCCAGCCTTAGGCTCTTCTCCAGGGAGTCCTTCCTTCTCATTAG